CCCGGCTGCTGGCCCTGGCCGATGTGCCCGAGGAGGAGCTGAACCCCTTTCAAGTACTGGGGCTGGAGGTGACTGCGTCAGACACAGAGCTGAAGAAGGCCTATCGTCAGCTGGCCGTGCTGGTGAGTGTGCCCTGATGTGGTGGGAGGTGGATGCCGCACCTGCCCCCATGACACCCAAGCACCTGGGGAGCATGAGGCAGAAACTGTGTTCAAGCTGCATTGCCCTTTAAGGGGCAGAGTGTGAGCCACTCTGCTCTAGCCACCTCCCACTGAGGCTCAATTTTCCCCCCTCCCCCCCCCGCCCACCAGCTGCTGCTCCCATATCACAGAGGGGTAAACTGAGACAGGCGTAGGTGGGGTCACCTGTCCAAAGGTCACATAAGGTGTCTTTTTCAGAGCCTTCCCCGAGTTCCTTGCTTTGGCAGATTCACGGCAAGGCCTGTCTGGAGGCGTGGGAATTGTCTTTAATAGCTGGTGCCAAAGGCACTGGCAGTAGCTCCTGCGTTAAGCTTGTACTGAGCCTGGCCCAGGCTGCAGGACTAACCAGCTGGCTGATTCTAGTCCCTGGAGCTGCCTGGTGTCTGAATGGGATGTCCTGGGCCTTTGGCATCCTTTATAAGGTAAAAACTCTGCATGTTCTTCCTGTTTCCCTGGGCTCTTTGGAAGAGTCCCAGGCCAGCCCACGTGAACCTTTCCAGCCTCTGGAGGCATCTGTCTCCTCCACTGGATCCTTTAAGAGGAACTGCTCAGAGCTCTTAGGCGTGTTAAAACGGTTAACTGATTAACGATAGTGCTTAACCAGGGAACCATTTTAATTTAGGTCCCATGGTGGCCATGGGGTCGGCTGCCCGGCCCTGCTGCTACCGGGGCTGCCCGGGCCCGGGGCAGCTGGCCACTACTAGAGTTAACTGGAAAGGGCTGGTTAACCAGTAAACCTCATGCTTACCGGTTAACATCCCTGTCAGTTGTGCTGACTGTCCCAGCTTGGGCGAGGGGGGACGCCGCACCTGCTTTAGGGAGAGGTGGGGACCTGTTGGGGATGGATAGCGTGAGTGGGGTGGAGCCTGATGGTTGCACCCTGGCGCTGCTCTTTGGCAGGTTGGAGCAGCAAGCTGTGGAGCGCTCTCCCATCCGGGGCCATCCTTGGGGTAGCCCCAAACGTTAGTGGTACCCTATGCAGCTGCATATGTTGCATATGCCTAGGGCCACTGCCAGGACCAGACATCAAGCAGGAAAGGTGGGCAGTGCCAGCTCTGGCAGCCCCCTACCCCAATACCCTGCATGCTGTGCCCAACTGCCACTCACCCATGTTTCCCCTTCTGCCAGTCTCCAGCCAGTTGCACAGCAGCCCCTGGCTCCACCTCCGGGCCCACAGCTCTGCCTGTGCCACTTCCTGCTTGGTGCCTCCCTGCCCTGCCCCCCTGCAGCCTGTGGAACAGCTGTGGGAGTTGTAGATGCTGGGGCTGCGTAGGACACTAAAATCATAAGGACAGCCCAGCCCTGGTGCTTTGGAGCAGCTTTGTGAGTCGCAGTCACTATGTGAGCGCCATGGTGGGGGCCACACTGGAAGCACTCGATGTCTTTGAGGTTCCCCTTGGTGCTAGTTGTCCTTTCTGCCCCAGCTCCTTGGCTGGACACCCCCTTTTGTGTGCTGGACTCTATGGGGAGCCCTCTTGCCTTGGTCCGTCTGTGTGCTGGCTGAGAAGGAAGGCAAGGAACTGCCATCAGGTGTTGGGACTTCCAACGGGTGACACTGGCTAGTTCAGCAGCCTGACCCTAGCCAGACTAGTGTGGACCAATTGGCCTTGTCTGAGGACATATAGCCACACAGCCCTTCTCCCCCTGGGCCCATCTGACTCTGCTGTCCTGGGCAGGAGCACCTTCCTGGCCAGACCCCAGCCCTAGATGCGGTCTGTGCTGAAGAAGCCTCTTGTTCTCCGGTTCCTGTGTCTTCCTCTGCAGGTTCATCCTGACAAGAATGCTCATCCCCGGGCAGAGGAAGCCTTTAAGGTGCTGCGGGCTGCCTGGGACATTGTGAGCAACCCAGAGAAGAGGAAGGAGTATGAGATGTGAGTCGGGGGCCCCTTCCTGCCTCCTAAGGCAGGACTGGTCGGGGGGGAAGGCACCTGCCTTTGCTGGCGGTGGATTAGAGCATGTGGCCATCTCAACGTACTTGAGAGGCGGGCGATGGGGAGGGACGTGGGCTGGGCTCTTGGGCTGTGCTAGTCAGTCACCCTGTGACTCGCTGATCTGAGTGGCCCTGTGCACTGGTGTCAGGCCTGGCCTAGGACTGCTACTTCTTCCTTCCTGAGTCAGCAGAGGGGTGGCATCTTTGGCCAGGTTCAGCAAGCGGGACTGATTCTTCCAGCACTTGCCGCTGCGAGACGTTGCTTCCCGGCCCAAGCGCGAGTGAGGATGCAGCCAGGCATTCCGGAGTGCTGCACAGAGGG